TTGTATTGTATTGTATTGTATTGTATTGTGATTTTTGATTTACGGGTATGTAAAACGAAATTACATTAACGGATGTAACTGATAACTTTTCCAATGAAATCCTTAGCACCCCGTTGGCAGGCCAGTCACACTGGTTCTCACCACAAGAGGTTACGATTGTATTGTATTGTATTGTAGAAACCAAAGTGGCGAGTCAGTTGAGTCAAATCATTTTCAATTCGCTTTCATCGACGTTATTTAGTCTCTGCATTCGACTAATCGAGATATGTGATTTTTTTTTCTAAATATGCTTAGCTTCTTCTTTTTTCGCTACCTAGTCTGAAATTCAAGTATTTTACTGAGATTGAAAAATCTGAAGGTCAGTTCAACATGTACATAGGGTAATAGATGGGCGTAATTGGGTAATAAATAATTAACATCCACGGAGTTGCTTTATCGCATTTCATGAAATCGGAGTTATGTTAATGCTTAAACAACCCTACTATACAGAATGCTGAACGAAATCAATCACGAAAACAAATGGCACAATTTCTTGAATATACCAGTGGGCCTTAGGCAAACATTCAATAGTTAATATCGGAAACAAGTGCGTACATCCTGCGCTACATGTAACATATATTGATGTGAGTTATTAATAAGAGCCACATGTAGTCTTCATTCCAAAGATCATCGGTCATTTTTGTGTAATGGATACATATTTGGGTGACGTATTATGGTTTGAATGAGATGAAATCTCTCTACTATGATGCTGTAAGATCTTACTCCAGTGACGTGCAGCGCTGGAAATCACAATTGTGGGTTATTGAGAAATCTTAAGGTTTGAGAAAAGAATTACGGTGATACTAAAATTGTTTTTATATATTGAAAGCAGTATCTAATTTCTGTACAATATATCAATAAACATCATCGCTTCATTTTGGCCATAGTTATATATATCAATATAAATAAAAGGCAAACTGACTTATAAATTTAATTAAAAAAATGCGCAAAGATTCGTTTCTTTTTAGTAATGACCTTATTAACAGGCAATAATAACATATGAGTAACGTTTCCACTTCAGATACTCGGATCGCAATCCAGGGACTCTCCATGTGTTCCAGATCTTACGCAACACATTGATGTCAATCTGCCGATGGTAATAACTAAAAATGTCAGAGTTTTCTTCAAGAGCCATGTCTTATACATAAACGAATACCCGGGAGGATACACTTACATATACTCTCGATCTCCCCCGTGGAATTGATATAACTCGCTGTAATACTGTCTACTGCGTCATTAAAGTGGAATGGCCCATGGGATTACGTTATGTATAAATCTATGGCATGTCGGTAGCATTTCTTTCTATTATGAGTTCAAGTAGTCAATAATAAAGTGCAGTGTGGCGTTTGGAATCGTATTATATAGTTAAATCAACAAGAATCTGTTTATTATAAAAGAAAAATGCATATAATAATTGACAATATGATCTGTTATGTATTACACCAGTATGTGCTTGTTTCGACCTTTATGTGTTATACATTAATGTACCCAATATATCATGACAGTTCGGTTTAATAAACAGTATACTACTGGAAGCATGTTCTTTTACCTAGCATGGTATTATAATTGTAGTTAATTTAGCTAATCCATAATTTCGCAAATTTAAGATATCGCTAATTTAAAAGTATATATTCTCACAATGAGATTGTTGGCTAAATTAGTATCCTATTAATTCATGCATGGAGTCAAGTTTGCTAAAATGGCATATAGCTATTTCAACATGTTTTGCAGTATTTTTCTATATCACCGAATCTATGTAATACAAATTCGAGCAATCTGATTGGTCCGTGCAAGCAGATTGACCGTTTGACATCATGGATGACTGTTGCAAAAGAAACCAATAAATCAAGACATTAGTGGTTTTATTCTATATTCCTTAAATTATTATCAGAAAAAATATTCATTCAAATAATCTGGTAGTTTCGGATGTCAAATTCGTGACCCTACAGCATAAGATTTACACTCGTTTATTAAATGTGATATTTTAAAGTCACTGTATATATTACAACATTATATTTTGAATTGTGTGAAAATAATTGTGTTATACATGACAAACCTTATTTGTATTATCAGATGTAGTATCTCAGTTACCTAGTATAAGTGTGTCAATTCATGTCATTACTATGCACGAATTTGAGGTGCGAAATTTAGAATTCCTTAATTAGTCAGATAAATTAGCGTTAGAAGTGTGTTCGCACGTAAGGGTGGATATCATTAATTCAACTGACCGTAACCTAGTGGTTCCATTTACTTTCGTTAGAAAAATTAGCAATGAATTTTCGCTCCCCAGTTCAGGGAATGGGCCACGGTACTATTCTTGGCGAAATCAAAGATAGCCGCCATCTAATTAGCACGGAGGATTACATGCATATCACAAACGCTAACTACTTACATAACGTTTTGGCGCGCATTTTTAGAAACAAATCAAAATACTAGGCTTTCAGAATAACGTGTGTCTAATCCACAGAAAGAATAATGAAAACGAATTACCAAATTATTACAATACATGGTCAAATAGGCGAAAAACATATATATGCAAAAATAAAATAATAAACTATTTTGAAAAGTGAAGTGATGTGTTTCATCGGGAGTGACCACATCCCGGGGAACACATTCTGGTCTGCGTGTGAAAGCCTCATATATTTATGTCCACGACATAATCTAACAGTTATTGTCGTCTATTAGCAAAAATGACCATCAAGAGAAGATCGTGAAGGTTTGGGTCAATTCTGTTAATCTTTTTAGGGCGTCTTATTCAGAACACTCACAACTCGTTGTAGGTAGTGAGAGGGCGCGCCTTACACAATGCAAGTGTCATGATACCTGCAGACGATGTTCATTTTTTTTTTTAGATACGCCCTCAACATCAAATCCGTTGACGAAATCGTTTATAGACCCTCTCACGTTTTTTGAGAAATCTAGATTTCTGTCATAACGCATCTAATGAATGGACATTTGCACTTTTACCTACCACTTTTACCTATGTCAGTTAAGACTGGGGAATTAATTTATATTAATTGTGATTTGCGATAAATAGACGACGAAGGTGATTAGATTTAAGAGTCATATAACATTGAGAGGAAATATTTCAAATGTTACAAATATTACCATTAAACATATGAATATTATGGAGAATAAAAGTTGATATTTATTACGTATTTAAAATTTATTTTAATTGATTTGGTATAATTACAGGGGAGTTTTAAAACGTTAATAAAGCTGTAATGTCGCCTATATTTTATTGAAAACCTTTGAAATATAAAGTATTATTATACGACGTAACGCCATAAGTTACAGCGTGCCGTAATTTTGCGGTATTACACTGGGTATTTTCATCTTATCGTATTAGAGGCGATTACGCGCGTAAGCGTCCTCTAATAATAAAAAAACAAGGCTGCCTCCAGGGT